ATAGAATATATTTCACAATGAGATGAGCAGGCCTCAGGATATCATTGGATATCACTTCGTCTTATCTCCTCAAATTATATCTTATCTAGGATGGACCGCAGTTTAGCCTCGTCCATGTCTTATCAGCACCGATGGTGAGGTTCGCTACCATATCCTGAATTTCGCGGTGACTTTACAGCTCCACGGCCATGGCTGCCATTATGTTACAGGGCAAGCCAGACCTCTGAACTCACATATTTTTTGTTATTGCAACCCCGCTGTGGTTGCTGATAAAGCCTAGGCGGGGTCGAAACTGCAGTTCATTCTTGATGAGAGGGAGGCAATTTGATTGGAATTCAATGGTATCCTGAGGCATAGTCATTGTAATGTGGGAACACCTAGCTGCCATTCCTTAGATTACCTTAATCGAATTTGAATCATTAAGTTTTTATCTCATATTACTGTTAATTCTGTGGATATTTTGATTTACTTTATGCCATTTTACAGCCAGCGCACTTTATCCATATTTTAAATACTTTTTTTTCCTTATTTTTCCATTCTTTGAATGCAGGCAGCTTAGCTATCTTAATTCTGAGTGCCCTCACACTTCACTTCTTTTGTGCCCTTGGCCTTCGTGCGCGTCTGCCATACGCTCTGCTGCGTCGTCAATTCACTTGGAGTTCTGAAACTCCTTTTAAAGATGCAGAGCAGCAGAGAATGCTAGAAAGTAGATCCGTCACTAAACATATGGAGCGTGATCGACCTCAAGATTACTCTGAGACAAATGCTGAAGCCTTAGATCTGGAAAATGAAGTTACCATGCCTAACATGAGCTCGTCTTTATCTACGCATGGCTTTCCAGCAGTTGATTACCAAATTAAATTTCTAAAAAACATCCAACGCGGCCATAAAAGAAGTCTTTTCGGCCGGCCATCCCTAGGCCGATGCACGCCTTCTTCAACTGGATATCAACTTATTGGTACTGGAAGTTCTACTCCAAACTTTGGTTTGGAAGAGCTGTCTTCATCCGGCTATGCTGTCGCTTATTCATTTAGTGGACTAAGTGAGGAAAACGATGAAGTCGAAAAGAGAAATTGCAAAATTAAAGAAACTGCTAAATTGTCATCGGTGAACTGGAGCAATTTAACCACATCCGAGCCAGAAAAACGTATGAACGAGATAAGGCTTGATAATATATCAGTAAATCATTCAGGATTCGATGAGTTACATCACATGTCTAGTGCTAGTGATAGAGGGAGTGATGCGATTCAAATGGAGGAGGATGAAGACGAAGAACAACCCGATGGAGAACAGGAAGATAATGGAGATGAGGCTACTTTCCTTGATTTCCAAGTTCATAACGTTCAAAATGATAAGCCCACTCGAAGTCTTATTCAAGGTGCTGCTGATAACTTACAGAGATTTATGGCATTAGTTAAGCTAATAAAACCACGTCAACACAGGACCATGCCTACTCAGAGTCAACATCGTTTACTAAATATGGCATTAAAATCAGACGGAGTCGAGCAGTCCATGGAAGCATCTCAAGAATTGCATGAAATAGATTTGCTAAATTAACTACTACTACTACTACTACAAGTTTCGACTACTACAACTACTTAGAAAAGACATCCCGAAGGTTAAAATAGCTCAAAAGAAATAATTCAGGGGAACTAGTCGCGGTCAAATACTAACGTTCTAAAGAATTGACAAAAAATTAATTTAACATATCATTAACAATGAAATTAACGGTGAAAGTGCATTTTAATGCTAATAAAGTTATATTCATGTGGTTATATTAAAGTAAAAATAAAGGGTATTTTGGGTTACGACGAGATACGTGGACAGAAGGAAAGAGAATATGGAATATTCAGCTACATTTAGAAAAATCGAAATTCCGGAGTAGCTTTACGAGTGACGGCGCCTGGCAATTTGCAGAAAAGACCCGAGGTGGGGTTTTAATGTTTTACAGTAGAATGTGGCAACAAAATAATGAGGGTAGCAGTAAATTTTACCAAAACGGAAGTGTGGAAAAAAAGTGATTCACTTTAAGCTAGTCTTCATTTGCCATATTAAGGTGTTTA